ATGTTGGCAACGTGCAGCAACATGTTCGCAACATGCAACACATGTTGGCAGAGCATTTGGCTTTAAGTTTAGTGCCAACATGTTGTTGAGATGCAAACCAGTAGTAACAGCAACAACTGTGGAAGGGACGAGACTTTTCTCAAAGACCACGGCCAGCAAGTATCTTTCGCTTTAAAGAATGACGGACCGATAAGATGAGTTTTCGGAGCTCTGGATCAGTACACTGAGCGTCGCTTTCAACCGATCTCTTCTTACGTCCTCCACCGCACGAAGATATCTGAATAAAAAATTGCAATGCTTATAGGCCACGATATATACACAGGTGATATGTGGTATTTTCGCACCGCAATTGTAGGAATGGTGAAATACGTACGTTGACAGCCGAGCCGAGGTGGATTAAATCCCTAAACAAGCTGAGATCATTTGAGTGAAATAAATAAATTACTATACTCACTCCAGATCCGCATCCTCCACCACCTCCTCCACCGAACAGAATGGCTGATGTTCCTGACACCAAAGCAAACAATACAATCTTCTGAAAATTCGTTTACACATCCAAAACTCAACATTACCATCGACTACTCTTGAGATCCACTATCAAAGTGGAGTGAAGAAACGCGAAAAAAGTAGATTTGATATACAGGTCAAACTCACCATAGCGGGGCAGTAGATAGAAACAAATAGCTAGGAGCGTTTTTTGAATGTGATTTATATAGGATTGTGGGATGGATGAGGACATAAAATAGACTGGTTGTCTTAAACGGGTATGTTTGTCGCTCTATGCTGGTAACGACGACATATAATGAAGTAATACATCACTATGGCGTCAAGAGTGCGCTAACATTTAGCCTAACATACTCAAGATATCTGCGCAAATTACAGAGATGATGATTAAAGTGATAATAGAAGCTAGCGCAATAGATAAGTAATTTTATGAGATCGTAATGTGCTTATAAAACCTGCCTCTGCTTTCCCTCTTATAAACCCCATCTGCCCACAGCTTGACTGATTTATCATGCTTACTGTTAGTTACTCGACAATGGATACGCATGAAGTTGTAGGCGATTTGTAAGCTTTTAGACATCACCAATTTTTTTAGACACCGGGGGCATCCAACTGGTCATGCTTCATCTTAAGAGCGTTGAATGTATGCAAAGTAGCGCATTCTACCAATTTTTCCAGAATAGTTACACACGCTATGCATCCGTGTCCGCGAACGATTGGCTTAAAAATATCTGG